TTAAAAAAAAAAAAAAAAGTACTGACCCCAAACTTTTGAACGGTAGTGTATATTGCTACAAAAGATTTCTATTTTGAATAAATGCTGTTCTTTTAAACTTTTTATTCATCAAAGAATCCTGAAAAAAATATCACTGGTTAAAAAAATAAAAAAATAAAAATAAAAAACACTAAGCAGCAAAACGGGTTCCAATATGATTGATAAATTGGAATTTAAGGATGATTTCTGAAGGATCATGTGACACTGAAGGCTGGAGTAATTATGCTGATGAAAATTCAGCTTTGCATCAGAGGAATAAATTATATTTTAAAGTATATTAAAATAGAAAACCATTACTTTAACTTGCAACAATATTTCACAATATTACTGTTTTTTTTCTGTATTTCTGATCAAATAAATACAGCCTTGAGGAGCAGAAGAGACTTTACAAATTACAAATCTTACTGATCCCAAACTTTTGAACGGCAGTGTATACATTAGGCCTGGGCGATAAAACGGTATAAAGTGAAAAAATGAAAAAAAAAAAAAAAAGTGATCGATATTTATCAACGGTACACCATCATTGATGATAACAATTGAAAAAATGATAGTTTCATATTTTTTTGGTTTAAAGGCACATTATGAGTGACAAGCAGACAGTCAACAGAACACACAAACACATGCTGAAATGAGTGCTGTTCCTGTCTGCGACGGGGAAACTGTGAATAAAAAAATGAATATTAGTCGAATTTAAAATAAAAATTTGCATTCTAATGCAAAAACGGTGAATTTGAATTTTAGGTGTGTCAGGGAGCCTTATCAGCAGCACACGAGATGCGGTGAGGATGTAAGTGTCGTTGTTGCATTTTATTGTTTTTGTTGAACGCACAAGATGTGCTGCTGCTGCTGCGTTTTCCATTCAAAATATTAGAGAAATATAGAAGCTCAATGCGGAGAAGATATTGGTTAGGTTAAAACTGAAACCAAGCCATTCACACAGAATGCATATTCGAGACGCACAGTACACTATACCTCAGCCATGCTGCGCCCCACAGATTGGGAACCACTGCATAAATACATGATGCTATTTTGTTCATAATGGTTTATGGAATTTACGAAATCATATTTGACATAAATATTAGTTTAGACGTTATGCAGTTTTTTTAATAGACAATCGTTGTTTCATTACATTGAATAAAGAGTTTAATGAGGTACTTTATTTTGCTCATTGTGCCCTCCTGTGGCCTCAGGAGACAGGCCAAATGTTTCCTTAACACTAATTTAATCTGCATAAAATATAAGAAAGGAGATATTTATTTCAATTTGATTGTGATTTAGTTGTTGTCTGACTCAATAAATTGGGTAATTTAAAAATACAGTGATTAAATTTAAATATTTTTTCTGCTGCTCTGTTTAAAAAAAGGTTATAAAAAAATTTAATAATTAACGATATCGAATCATATGAAACATTATATTGTGATAATTTTTTTTAGCTATATCGCCCATATATATATATATACACAGGGTCGTCCTTAGCTGACGCAGGGCCTGGTGCGATGTAGGGAGCGGGGCCCCCCTCGGTCCATTTGCATACTACTATAGTGAGATACGGTATATATATATATATATATATATATATAAAAACATAAAAATTTCTGGTCTAAAATTAACAATGATCACAGAGAGTTAGAGGTGTAGACAATATTAACCACTAATTTTGAATATATATTTAGACATTATCAATGACTACTTCATCATGGCTGGTTTGTAGATTGTAAGAAATACTCCATATTTTCCATTCATTACCTATGGTGGTCAATTATGACCATGAACTGTAACAATTTTTTTTTAAAGACCATTTAGAATTTTCTAATAATTTCCACACACACACACACACACACACACAGGTTTGTTTTTGTGAATTGTGGGGACATTCCATAGGCGTAATGGTTTTTATACCGTACAAACCGTATTTTCTATCGCCCTACACCAACCCTACACCTAAACCTACCCTTTTACAGGAAACTTTCTGCATTTTTAGATTTTCAAAAAACTAATTCGGAATGATTTATAAGCCTTTTGAAATATAGGGACACTCAAAATGTCCTCATAAATTACCTTCTTGTTGTAATACCTATGTCATACCCATGTCATTATACAAATTTGTGTCCTCATAAATCACAAAAACGCGCACACAAAAGTCACGAAGTTCCTTACTATTCTTATGAAGTAATCAATTTGAAAAATTCAAAAGGTAAAACTTTTCACTCTAAAAAGACCGAGGACCACCAGACGGTTGAAGCAGATGTGTAGATCCAAAGTGGACCCCATCCTCACTCTCAGGAAAACATCAAATTGTCAGTATTACAATGAAAACCTTCTTTACATGTTTTACATCACTCACCCTTAACCCTGCCTCAGTGAGCTCTAAGCAGTATCGCTTTCCCTCTCTGGTCTCCACGTTTATGTAGGCCACATCCAGTCCGCTGGTGAGACTGTGAGAGACGTGCATGTCTGTGACCGCGAAGAGCACATCACTGACCACCGCCTCAGCCTCCAGCCTCATGTCCTTCACCTCTCCCAGCTCCACACAGCGCTCCTCATACGAACACCTCGACAGGTCCTCTGGCGTACAGTCCACCTCCATCCCCTGAAAACAACAGCGAGCCCTCAGATTAAAGATGATCAGACTAACTCACCGCAGAGATCAACTGCATGTTCAAAAACATCTGACGCCGCGGGCACAGTAAAGTCATGCTAACGCCTCTGACAAATTCCTCAACTTGACAACTCCGAAGTACCTTTACTTTTTTATTATTATTTTTTAGTAAGTATAACATTTTAGGGAGAAAAACACACGTTTACACACATTTTAATGTGTAATGTATGATGTACTTTGCATAAAGGCAGTCTGTAAAATATTAGCTAATGCTGCCAATCGAGGCTCTTGTAGCGTAAAAGTTCCATATAACGCAATCCAGAATTACATTAACAGAATAACAGTATGACCACATAACTAACAAAGTTATTTGTTATATGCTAAAGTTTGGAGCGGTTAATATTTATTTATTATTATCATTTTAGAAGTTACTAACCTCCTCCGGGGGTAGTTCGTCAGAACATTTCCGGCTCATGCCGGCTAGGACTCACGCGCGTCAATTATGCGCAGCCTTTGCGCAGCTTCTGCGTAACCGTTAAGATAAACATTATATTATCTATTTTTTTTAGGAAACATATTTTTCAAAACATAATAATACCTAATGTGTTATTTAGCTGTTAGTTGTATATGATAATACAAAGCAAACAGCTAAAGTACTTAAGTAATAAATTGTGCGAGCTTTGGGGTCGGAGGGGCTTCTAGAGAATTCTTTATTCTCCACAAATAACATCAGTGCGTAGTTACAGTCCAAAGAACTCAATACATTTCATTAACTTTATTACATGTTATAACGTCGTGTTATTTTCTTACATTTGACTATATTTCTTTATCATATCTATTTTTTTTAGGAAACATATTTTTCAAAACATAATAATACCTAATGTGTTATTTAGCTGTTAGTTGTATATGATAATACAAAGCAAACAGCTAAAGTTCTTAAGTAATAAATTGTGCGAGCTTTGGGGGCGGAGGGGCTTCTAGAGAATTCTTTATTCTCCACAAATAACATCAGTGCATAGTTACAGTCCAAAGAACTCAATACATTTCATTAACTTTATTACATGTTATAACGTCGTGTTATTTTCTTACATCTGACTATATTTCTTTATCATATCATTAAGTATTTTCCAATATAGTGACAACACTTGCATTTCCACAAGTGTTACTACTGAAAATCACCAATGGAAATGTACTGGATTCAACACGCAAGCGAATGGAACTTGTGAATAACGGGATTTGATGCCATAAACATTCATTCCCGTTCTTTAAAAAACTTGCCAACGAAAAAAAAAAAGGCAAAAATTGTGAGCAGTGCAGAATAAATAGCAGAATTTTGGCAGTTCAGTCCCTTTTAGAATAACATTGTATTGTGCTGTGTTATCAGTTTCTTGTATGTAAATACCGGGTAACGGATTCGATCACAGATTTAAATAAATGTAAGATTTATAAACCTTGACTTAAGATCATCAGCTAACACCATGTAATTTAAGCCTACTTACCATAAATAAAGCGATTTTACTGTTCTTATATTTAAAAAACTCTGCCACTCTCCTGTAGCTGCGCGGATGGGCTGTGTAGCAGCTGCGCAGAGCGGATGCTCACGAACACACCGCGCGCAGTCACAAGCGTGTTTGTAAACATCATTTAGCCTTATAAGCAGACAAACAGAGATGCTGCTTTCACACGACCCGACAGCCACTCATAATCCGCACGAGGACTACCATACTCAGTTTAATATAGCTGTTATTACTGAGCGATGCTTCAATTAAACCGATAAACTTGAATGAAGGTATGAAGGATTGTGTTTAGCCAGCATGCTAACTTAGTTCACCTTATGCCAAGGAACAACGGTTAGTCAGCTGTTTTGTAATACAGGTAAGTTATTTTCATTCTGATTTTGAATGACCACAGCAGAGACGGACAAATGTAACCCCCCCCCCCCTTTTTTTTTTGCTGTTGTGCAGTGTGACTCCTTGATTTGTCATTGTTAGCTGACAAACAAACTCACTAAGAATTGCGCAAACACTGGTGGTCACTATATAACGTTAGTTTCTGTTGATTTGGGCCAGACAGCAACGTCAGTCATGCTAGACAAATAAACACAACTGCATGTCATTTAAAATGATCTCACCACAGCCAGGCTTTCTGATGCTGTACTAGAGTACACACATTGAATAGCTGAGTCAATGCCAGTCGTTTGCTGTGAATTGATGGCTTTGCCAAAGTAATCTCAGGCTCTAGAAGTCCTTTGCATCATGGTATTGAATTACTAGTTCTGCAGATGTAATTTGTTCTGGCAGCCACATCAGTTGGAGGTCTGCATTAGTCAGCTAGAGACAGAATGTGTATTTATCCTGAATTATTGTCATCGACAACTCTTCACTGAATAATTTTGTGGGTGTTTTCAGCAAAATAATGTCAGGATCAAGTTCACTTTTTTATCAGTTCCACGAGGATTTCTGACACGTGTGTATGTATTTTATGTACTGTCAATCTTTAATGTATTCTGTTCCAGCTTAATGCAAACTAACGTTAAAGGGGAATCAGAATTATTATCATTAACTTAAACTAAATCTAAAAGTAAAACCATAAATAACTTGACTTTTTTTTTGTTAATTGAAAAATAATAAAAGTATATTAAAAAACCTTAACTTAATTTATTTTCTCATATTCTTTAGCTTAAGTTTAAGTACAAAAATAACTTAAACTAAATAAAAGTTAAGAAATACTTTATAGACAAAGTAAAAAAACCACACTAATAAAATGATTAAAATTAAATTAAGAAAATATGAAAATATAATCTAATTCAGAATATTTACAAAAACTATAATTGTGTATCAATGACACTAAAATAACACTGATGGGAATATGTGGCATTTAATGCCTTGAATGTCCTAATTTGTTTCAGTACACACTGAACCCAAGAGCCAGTCAAGATGCCATGGCCATTTTCTGAGTCTATTAAGAAGCGTGCCTGCAGGTACCTGCTGCATCGATATCTTGGTAATTTCCTCCAGGAGAAGCTCAGTTTGGACCAGCTTAGTCTGGACCTCTATCAAGGCACGGGCTCACTTGCTCAAGTGCCGCTGGACAAATGGGTAAGTTCAGTACAATTGTGCTATTGACCCCCTCCCTCAGCAGAACATGTAATTAAACAAAAATGTTATTAAAGATGTTTTATCTGATTCCTGCACTAATGGAATCTGACATTTTATTACTGGATATAACTGAGGGTGATTTTCTTAAAGGGGTCATATGATGCGATTTCAATTTTTCCTTTCTCTTTGGAGTGTTACAAGCTCTTGGTGCATAAAGAAGATCTGTAAAGTTGCAAACACTAAAGTCTCAAAACCAAAGAGATATTCTTTATAAAAGTTAAGAGTTAACCACACCCTCCTAAAACGGCTCGTTCTAACACGCCCACACATTTCTACCTCACTATGTGGGAAGATTTGAATAACGCCGCACAAATGTTCATGCAAAGAAAGAAGGCGTAACTTTTATTCACGCTGTAGTATTGTTGACGCTGCAGCCATGTCCTGAAGACGCTGTGTGCTTCGTTGTGAAAGCGAAACTACTTTGTTTGGCCTTCCAAAAGAGGACGATATCCGCTTCATCATGCCTAGAGCTGATCCGTGCTGGTCGCTGAGAAAATAAATCAACTTCGCGCTGTGGAT